TCGATAAAGAGCACAATATTCTACAAATTAGTGTAATATCTTTTTATGAATTTTTAACACCTACATCACTAATAAGAACTAAAAGCTCAATTGCATATGTTAGTATCTGCAATCCTTCTTAGCTGGTTTTCCAAAACATTAAATAACAGCCAATCTTTAACTCACATGCTTATGCAAGTGGGTGTGTAGCAGCAAGTCTTACAACAAAATTTTCATATGAAGGCTGCGTAGAATGGGTCTACGTGTTTGAAGTAAGAACCTTTCTAGCCTATCCCAGAAGATCATCTCAACTCACCAGCAGCCATGAACGCAATGAACGACTTGCTCAATACTGCGATCCGAAATCGACTCCAAGATGATCCCGACTATGATCCAATCAGATACCCAGAGATTGCACGCAAATTTGGGAAAAAGCCATGAATCCTGGTGATATTCTATGCTCACTGTAATGTGATGATTCACTTGGCTTCAGTTTTCTTGTTCGTTGTGGTTTTATTTGAATTTGCATATCTTCCTCTTTTTGTTAGTTTATTGTGCCGTTGCCTTTTTTCAGGGTGATATATATTGTCTTAGGTGGGCTACCTTCTGTTCTTGTAAATGGCTGCTTCTGAAATGATTCAGTTATCGCCCATAGAATGCACACGTGTTCTTATGTCTAGTTGATCAACGAGTAATTTGTTGCACGTTTTAATTTTCTTAACCAAAGGTATAGTATCTTCACAGTGTTTGGCTCTCAACAAAAGTCCCTGTTTTTTACATGAACTTTTTATACAGATTGATAAATGCTTTATCTTAACGCAGTGTTAGACGTTCTTTCGGTGTTGGTTGACACAATGATATTATAATCATTGCTATGCAGTTGCAAAGAAATTAACCTCTGCTTATATTATCCTCATTGATCGTAGATTCTTTTATAGCTAAAGTTGAGATATATTTAATCATGAGGATATTTTATCAATATTTCACTACGAGAACTTGTGGTGGGGGGAGGGGAAAGGGGAGACAAGGCCGAATTTTCCAAATGTGGGCGGAGCAGTGGGCGTTTCCAGCCTATTTTTATGCGAGAGAAACGTTAATGATCTGCGAATACAATTGGAGCATTAAATTTTCATGGGGATGGGGGGTGGGAGGGAGGACGTGCCGAAGGTATAGTTTGTCCAGTCAAGGTTGACCCATGCTGTCGGTGCGGAATTTTGCACGATGCGCCAGAGCCCCTAAGTTGGAAAACAATAGAGTTGTCAGCAGAACTGCACAGTGTGTTGAGAGCCTGTCGTTTTGTGACGCGTGAGCGTTTACAGCTCGGGATAGGGGATTGCGAACACAATTGCTTCAAAATATCAAAAGGCCGTCAATTTTTGGACGCCTAGGCCTATTTGTATTGTATCTTAAAGTAACTCAAAACGCCTCACAGCCGCTGCACCGGGGCCATCTACATCTGTTTTTGGTTGCACAGGCTATAAATAAATATTTTCAACTGGAATAGCATTCGCTGCAAGTGCGCGGCACTGCAAGGTTGGTCGCGACACAGAATGTGTGCCGCGTGCGAGTCTGCATACAGCCTGCTGACCGAAGTGGCAATGGAACAAAGTATGGCTTTAATAGTTTCAATGGAGTTCGCAATCAATACCCTGGTATATGACTTTAGGAATACCGTCTGGGACTGTTTGAGCTTCAAAAAACAAGCTAGGAGAACTACACTGGTAGTTGTTTTCTGTCACTATCTCCTTCCTAATTCGCTTTCTTTTAGTTTACATGGTTTTGACTAT